TCCTGTTCCGTTCAACAAATTAACGTTCGGTTTCCCCTGAACTGTTATTTAATAGCTTCCCAAAGGAAATCCTCAGTAGTCAAACGTTCACATTATTTTTCATCTTGTTATTTATCCCTTTGCTCAGCGCAGTTCGTATGATCTCCAAAGGCTGCGAAAATGGCGAAGAGTTGTGGAAGTCGTTGAGTTTGCTCTTTTAAATATGATGCAGCGACTTTTCTCCGTGATCAATACGTGATTATTAATATACGTTGTATATTAAATAAATACAGGTGTATACATTGCCTGATGGCCTTTAACAGCGTAGGAGTTACTTGCATTCAGTAAATTTCGTCCCCTTCATTCACTTTGTAAAGGTTTTTCTGACCGCAGGCAAATGCCACGAAGAAACCGAATATCACTCGAACACAGAGAGAATCGTGAGAGGATTTGAGGATGAGGAGGGAGATTATCTTGTGGTCGCGGATACGCTCGGAGTGAACTGATCAACGGTAAGAGGCATTGTGACGCGCTACATCAGAGAGGGCAGGGAAAGACCACGAGGAGGTAGAAACAACGTGCGCGTGAGAAACAACGTGCGCGTGGACGAAGAGATGAGAGATTGCCTAGAGGAAATCATAAACGAAAACTGTTTACTCACACTTGCTCGGATAAACGGTGAACTGAGGAGATGGCTACCCCTAAAACCTCAGATCCATGAGCGCACCGTGGCAAGGACATTAGACGGGATGCTTTTCCGAGTGAAACTTGCAAGGCCTCTCCTTGCGGTCAGAAACAGACCTGATGTGATGAACAAGCGAGTGGATCACGCCACCTGGTTTATGAACCATGCCGTAGTGCGCCACCGTGTGTTTGTCGACGGATGCGGCCACAACGTCTGGACGGCCAGAAGCCACGATAAAGCGCGCCAGGGAGAGAGGGCGTACCGTCAAGTGTGCGGCCAGCGAGGACGAAACTTGACTGTGAGAATGGCAGTTTCGCCAATCAAGGGACATGTGTTTTCCTCAGCAGCTTTTGGCGGAATGAATGCAGCGCTTTTCGATAATTTCCTGGCACAGGCGTGGGAAACTCTAGATCCCGACGGGGAGGTGATCTTTGTGGACGACGGAGCACCGGCACACCCAAACCCGGTCATTCCCGCCCCAAACACAGAGCTTAAAATGCTTCCTCTCTAAAGTCCTTTCCTAAACATCGTGGAGCAGTCACTAAGCTGTCTGAAAGCGGCAATCAGGGCTGACATCTCGCGTCCGGAAATTCAAAAACGCATGGATAAGTGAGATGAGGCCAGAGCTAGAGGAATGCCACTGGGGGAGTTTCGAACACAACAATTGCTTGAAGCTCTGCACAGAAACATCGACACTGTGAAAGCGGCTAAACGTGCGCAATGGTACCACTCTATGCAGACCTATCTGCCATAATGTTTAAATAGAGAGATTATTGAAGGGTAAACTGAAATTCAAAACAAGATAATTTTGGAATAGGTATTTTTCAATTGGAATTCGATGTTTGAATATTGAAAATAAAAACGCTTAATTGTTTGTACAAGCGCATACTTAATGATTGTCTTATTCATACTAATGCTGTTCAGGAATGCTATTGAATTGCAAACAGTGTGATAAAAATGTTAATGAATGGTTTATGCACTATATTGATTATGTATTGTCTCTATTCAATTTCAAGATGGTGTAAATGACTTGAATGTTAGCGCAAATGAAAGTATATTTTTCTCTTTTGTTTGACGAATGACGTCTAAGAATGCCTACAATTGTTCTTGAATGCTGATTAAAATGCAAAAATCGTTAATGAATCTGATTTCCCTGCAAATGATGGTTTTTTGTCTCTAATGATTGTATTTTGACGCAATCGTTTGCCCCTTATTGCGAATGAATGCGTTTTTCCTCGTAAGGAACAGCAAAAGGTGTCCTTTGTAAAATAAAGATACGTTTTAAGCCGTAATTAGGAAACAATGTAATTTCATTGAAGCACAGGAGCGCGTTTACATGTACGTTGCTGCAAAAACTGGCCACTAAATACGTTTGATTATGTGACTGTAGTTGATGTCGCGAAATATCTTCTACTACACTTTCTTCCCGAGTTATTACTGAAAGGTTGTGTGTTCTGGTTCCCCCTTGTATACTTTCGTGTTGACTTTTTGCTTTTTTCATCTTCGTATATTATTAAAATGATATATCATACAATCGTACCACTTATCATTTTCCTTTTGACAACGATAGTGAGATGTCAGTTGGCCAAAAAAGATTACAGAAAACCCTTAAACAGAGAGGGAATTACGCGTTGCGCTTAGAAATTTCCTCATGCAACGATCAGGAAGGGCCCTATTTGGAGTCAGGTCGTGTATTTTTTGTTTATTTCAACTTTACAAAAGCCAGTTTACCCCGTTTTAGATAGGCTCAATCCCGTTTATTCTAGACTTTTTCCGCGGTGGTACCTTGGCGCTTTCATTTTGCTAATATATTTCACTAATGTGTGGTAATAATTGTTTCCTTTCTTGCTGTGATCTTTTTCGATAATTGGTGTATTAGAGAGGATTCTATCGTATAAGTTGCAAGTTCTGTGCAAACCATAAAATGCTTAACAAAAAAGTCCCCAGAATCGTTTATTTACATAGGTGGTGCCAAATCTGAAACAACAGATATGCATGATGTAGTAGCATAATCGCTATTCATTCTTCTAACATAATTATAAGCTATTCCGCACTTTGTGAAAGTAATTGTGTGTAAGGTTATTCAAAAAGCCGTTGATTTCATTGTAAGCCCTCGGCGAGTTCTAATCTCTAAGATTGGACAACTTTATAGAATAGTTGAAGCACTTTTTGAAATGTTTATCGCTCTGTTTATCACTGAGCATTGTAGGATTTCGTCATGCCATGTACTCCTTTACAAAAAATCAGTTTAAAAATGATGAATAAGCAAACCTTGGAGCAAAATCTTTAGCCAATCACGTTCAGTGTTGGATTTGTTTTAACGCTTATCCGATTTTGTCAACCTCTCGGCGATAGGGACACTACTCTATTATTTTCTGTTCACCTGCTTCAAAAAATTGGTAGATTGTTGAACCTGTATTCTGGATTGGTGATAGATTGTTGCTCTAAACTTTCAATAAAAGGGATCTCAATGACTTAATTGTTAAGTTGAACCCTAATTTTTGCTGCACCATTCTGTCGATAATGAGAAATTTTCCAAGAAGGCGTTTCTCACTCATTCGATCATTATCCAAAAACTTATTTTCCTGAAAGCAAAGCCGAATCGATTGTAATGGTTTTCTTCCAATGAAACTTTTGTCTCCTCGTTCAGTTTTATGAGAATGTGGCAAGTGTTACCCATACACCTCGTGAGAAGCCTGAGATGATTTTACAGGGATGTACTCGGAGTTCAACCCGTTCTGTTAATTGCATCGAAGGAATCGTCGCACCTTAGACTTCAAATTTTCTCCGTAATAGCCGTATAATAAAGGATCGAGTGCCACATTCAGACATATCATCATTTGAGTCACACTCCAGACTAGACTCGGGGACACTAAGTTAGAATACATCAGCAGTCTAAAAATCATAAACGGAGACTGACAAGAAAAAAAGGCAAGAGAAAGAGCTGCAAGTGTCTTTGCAACTTTCTTATGTCTTTGATTTGTGTTGATGATATGCGAGTTGCACATTGGAATAGCAATCGCTCGAAGAGAGCGGAATATCTTTCGTTGCGTTACAATCATATAGAACAATGGAATTATGTAGAAAAGTATTGCGTGTACGATGTAGTATATTTCCCTGCCAGTGCTTCCCCAAGAGGTGTTGGTGCAAATCAGTTTTCCATCCTCATCGGTTTCGACCTTGTTCATACTTGCTGTGGGTGAGGAAATTACCAAGCACATACACCAGATTAAAACGATTTTGATGTATTCCTTGTTGGAAAAGTTTTGGCTTCTAGAATTGAAAGGATCTGTGATAGCTTTGAGTCTTAGGTAAGCTATAACCACAAGGGTTGTGATTGAAGTATTGTAGCTCGTGTCGAAAAGAAATGCGTGAAGTTTGCAAATTACGTTTCCGCCCACCCAACGCCAACTAGAATTAATGGCGTGGAAAGGAGTGAGAGAAATGAAAAGGAGATCGGCAGATGCTAAATTTGCCACGTACCACATCGGAGAAAACCGATTTCGGTTCAAG